TATTTTTTAATATAAACATTTACCCTTCATTATTAAAATGTATTTTCTACCACCATCAAATATTTATGAGTTAACTTTCTATGTATATTCAAAACTGAATTCGACTAAAATCTTTGAAAGGATATACTTATTTATATGTATCATTTGCATGAATTTGTGATTAATTAATTCACTTGCTGTTACTATAAATACTGTAATAAAAAACATTCATCGATTGAGATTTTAAGATAATTTCCTCACATTAGTATTAAGATTACATTTTCTCCTCTAAATCTCAATCTAGCTAACAAGTAACTCATCCATGTGTAAGAATGAAAAATTATTTACTATGGTAAAATAAATTATAAAGAACAAATCACTGGTTCATGGATTTTCAGTTTTGTCAACAAGATCAAAAATAAAATAATGATGCAACATTCTTCTAGTGAAAAAGATTTATAACATACCTACATAAATTTTATGCTGCTATATGATATTCATTAATGCAAATACATGCATAACCTTATTATAATAAAACTCTAGAAATTTTACTGTATAAAGATGTTTATAAGAATACTTCATCTTCATCCTCAATCTTTCAAATTTAAAAGCAAAAAAGTTGGAATTTGATGAATCGAAGCTAAAAAGAGTGCATACATCTTTTAAAATATTTTTCTGCAATAAAATTCCTGAACTTCTCTATCATAAAGCAACTTTCATATTTGTTTAAATTTATAATTTAGAAGTTTTTCAAATACATATGATTTGATGTCACATACAGAGATTTCTTAAACTATTCTTAAACAAATACAGCATGTTAAGGCTTCATATCTGGTCCACAACCTTGATGATTTCTTTTCTAAAAATCAATGTTTCTAATATCTTGCGGGGATTAAAACAGAAAAATTCAAACTTCTGTTTATGCAAGTCATAAAGGCCTGGCAACAAAAGGACATTTGTTAGAGCCTGTTTTTAGTTTACAGTATGTTTTGGTTTACTGAATAATAATCAATATGGCCCATGTCTGATATACATCTATTTGATTGGCTCTTTCTGTGTTTGAAGATCTAGCAATGTCATATTCAAATATATCCAATATGTTGGCAAAACTCAAGACATTTTTCTGATTTTCTTTTGCTTCCTATGTGAATGGGTGCTCACCAATGGCCGGGCAGATGACACCACTAAACACTGGTAGTTAATCATGGTACTAACCATGTACAATTTTCCAGGTTTTCTTTACATTTCCAAAGTCTAAATATAGGCTAGTTCTCCCAGTTAGCATCACCCATGTGTTGCATTTCTGTAATCAATTAATACCAAACCAACTTATGTAAATGGGATATCTGTGTAAGATCTTATCACAAAGACTGGCCAAGCATCATACACACCTGGTGTGAAAATGTCATCTAGCAACTTGCTGATCCAAGTAATACACTTCTATTGTTGCATATTAAGTTGGGCCTTATTAAAAATTTTGCCAAGGTAGTAGACAAAGAGGGACTAGTATTTACAATCCTGTGACATATTTCCAAAGCTTAATCTGCAGAAGATAAAGGAAGGCAAGCTTGTTGAACCACAAGTGCAACAAGCTTTAAATGACCTACTCAATCCAGATGAGGAAAGATCATGAAATGTGTTCTGACAAATTGGTTACAGTTTTTTTTTAGGAAATGTGAGAAAAGACAATTACACACAGCTTGTGAAGGAATTTCTGGTACCATTTGAGTAAGCTAATTGCAATATGTCACTGAAAGTGCACATCCTCCATTCTCATTTGGATGACTTTCCCCAAATTGTAGTAAAGTAAGTGCTGTAAGTGATGGGCATGGCAAGCACTACCACCAACAAATTTTCAAGTATGGAAGAGAGATACAAAAACAAGTAAAGTGTGGCAATCTTAGCTGAATTTTGTCAAAATCAAGCATGAAACCCCTGAAGTTTGATACAAATGGCATGTGAAGAAGCACCAGATTTAACAAATATGTAATTGTTAATTTTGTCTTAGCATATACAATATTAGAATTATAAAAGTTTATTACTTATATATTATATATTTATATACACTGAACCTTCCATAACTGCAAAAATTGTAGATATAGATTGTAAACTAAAACTTGAATTTTCTTATATTTAAATATTCTGTGTTTTTTCTATGTATTTCTCTTTCGGGTCACTAAATGATAGCAATTTGTAAATGACAGAAGAAAGAAAATGTTACCCTGTTGCTGACATGTAACTTTAGTACGTAGTTAGGCCTATGATGGTTGTATCTGTATTGAGTCTGTACAACTGTGTTCTGTTATTATTTCCTGTACAATACAGTATAACAGCTATTTACACAGCATTAACATTGTATTAAGTATTATATAGAGATTACTTAAAGTATACTGGAAGATGCAAATAAGTTATATTCAAGTACTGTGCTATTTTATGTACCAGGACTTAATCAGGAGCTTTGCACATTTGACTCAACGGTGACAAAATGACATTTCTAAATAGACCATTGAGACTAGTGACACAATGCTGTTTCAGTGTTGAGCTCAACGGTCTCAACATTACACTGAATAAAATTACAGACAGCATGGCATACCTGTCTGGCCAGTCACAGTAATGCTTGAAGTGTCCTCCATGAGTCTCTTTGCAAGCACAAACACATCTTTTCATGGATTGACGCACTCTTTCAAATGTCCCAGCTTGTAACCAAACATCATTACAGAAATCACATATTGTTCTAGAATAGGGACAACTTGTGGCCATCCCCGTTCTAAAACTATTTTTGGTTGACGGTAGAAAGCCCAAAATATAGAACGTAATTTTAATAGAATATTAAATCCATATTTTTCACTGAGAAATCTCTTTTTAACTACTTGCCACTGGTTAATAACTTGCAATAAGATAATACATGGCATTGCCAACTTCTGTCAATTATCTTTGTCCTACTATAAAGAACAGAGATCCACACCTCTAATAGATCTAGCACATCATTGAGTACCTTATTCACAATAGTCAATTACATCCAACCATCGGTCGGCAAAGACCGTTCTAGGATAAGGGTGCAACTATGCAGATGTGAGTGAATGAGAAGTGACAATGTTTCACACTCTTATTTATTACAACCACACAGATAGGAGTGAAAAACGGAGAGCATGAAACATCGTCACTTCTTCTCACTTGCTCACATCTGCATAGTCACACCCTAACTGTGCAAATGCCATCTTTATAGTGTGTTAATTATGCATTTCTGGACACATTTATAGAAGCATTTTTGTTTCCTGTCTTGGCAGTTTGTCTCTATATCTCTGTACACTTGTACAAGATAGTTACCTGTATAAGTATACAGACAACTAGTCTGGAATTACCTACATATACACAGGGTGATCGGTTAACAAACATAATCCGTTCCAAGACTTTGTTCACTATCCGAATTGTTCATTAATCGATTATCAATTTACCATAGATTTTTATGCAAATTTGATTAATTCATTCTGGAAACCCCAAAAANTATACAGGATTTGTTAGTGAATAATAAATAATGGTTTAATATTTTTTTTTCAAAGCCACATTAATTTATAACCATAAATCAATGTGGCTTTGAATGACATGTTCTGTATTATCACTAATTTTAATTATTAAAATCGTCAACTTATCCCTCTTAAAACATGTTTTTAAAAATTGTTTTACATCTTTGCAACATTTTGTCGGGAATTTAAAAATAAAGGGGATTAATAATAGGATAAATTGTTTTAATTTAATAAACATTTTATTTTTAATTTTAATTATTCAGCAATTATAAAAATTATGTAACTGCTAATTAGAAAAAATAACTAATTAAAAAGCCAAAGAAGCAATAGTGTGAGAATCTGGAAATTCAGGAGAGGGTCATTTTGAAAATTAACAAAGTAGAGAAAAAGAATTACAAAATTAAGAGAAAATAATATTTTTAAACTTTAACAAATTTTACAAAAAAACGGATGAAACTTTCGATTTTGAAAGGAAGTTTATTTCCTTTCCCACGCCGACTCATGATGAGTCGCATGAGTTTTGCACACATTACTGGAGAGCAAATAAAAGGGATGTTTTCCCGCCATTCTGGGCAGTCCGTCGAAAAGAGCTCACCATAAGATAAAGGCAGTCGTCATACAAAGTGTACGTCATACAAGTCCGTTATACGAATCAGTTAAATGAAAGTTATAAATATATAGCAATAAATGAAGTATATGACAAGATTGTTAAAAAAGAAGTTATTTAAAGGACTTTCCAAAGAAACTGTTAGAAGAAAAATACTCAGAATTGAAGAAGACCCTCATTCAGAGAAATATTCAAAAGACCTGATGAAGGTAATATGATCAGAGATAGATTGATGTGAACTCTCTCTCACGTATCAGGTTTAGAATAAGATTAGTTTAAGTTAGTAGAGTAGTTTAAATTTAGGTTCATTCTTTTGTATACTTTTATATTTCGATTTATTAAATGCTTTGTTTATCATTATAAAAATGGTTTGGTTAATATTGGTTATTCATACTCATTCGTATTTAAACTTCCTTCGTTCCTCTTACTCACAAGTTAGGGATAATGCATGTTAATCCGCATGTAAAATAACTGATTAACTGGTGTCAAGGATCCTGACGTGATCTAGAAATAACCCTCTAGATCTTTTAAAACTTTAAGTTAAAGCCCTCCTAGAAAAAGTTTAGTGAGCCAATCTTGCGATTTTGTGCCCGTAAGTGATATAGGTAGCACACCTATACCCTCTATACCCTTGGCTACTCACAATAGTATATTTGTGTAGTAAACCAAATGCTGTTTTATTTTGTCAATGTGCTGTACTATAAGGGATGTGAGGAAATTTTGTACAAAGTTGATCAGGGAAAGTCATGGAATTTAAAACAAAAATTTGAGTAGGAACCCTGTACATTCTAATTCTTGTTATTATTATTTTTGATCTAGATAAACTAGAAAAAATTCTATCAAGTAAAATATCATTATATACTCAAATATAATATCCATTAATTTAATACCAGTAATAATTGGTGCTGCTTTGAACTTCTGTAATTCTTCATTCGAGGCATCTTCAAACTCTTGTGCAGTTTGTTTTGTTGCAGCATCTAGATCAATATCATCTTCACTTTTTTTTATTTTTTCTGCATATTTTCTGAAATTAAGCAGTTAAATAGTCTGTCATAAAATATTATTAAAGAAACACACTAAACTTTAATATCATAGATATTTAACTTACACATCTTCAATATGCCTTAATTCATGTTCACTGAGCAAACTATTTTCATGTTCAATTTTCTGAATTAAATTAGAAAAAGATGCTTCAGTTGGAGTCATTTCTTGTGATACAACTGGCTTTCGTTCTAAGCAAATGGCACTCATAATATGCCATTGATGATGTGATGCGGGTGGTGTCTGCACCCTTGGACTTGCAGCAGTACATGCTATAAATAAAAAAATATATATATTTAAAACATGCTATCAGAAATGATAAAATGAAATGCAATCAATTCTGACATAATCAATTTTAAGACTCAAAATTTTCCAGATGTTTAACTGCCAGAAGTCAAGTGTAATAACAATTTAAGATACAACTAATGTAAATTAATATTTAAACCAAAATTACATTTAACAATCATTATGAACTATAAAATTTCAACTGAAATAGAATCTTCAATGTTAACAAGTTTATCTCTCCAATGACTTTAACAAATATACTCTGCTTTCTTGGAGACAAAAAAAATGGAGAAGTGTATATATAAAATCTTCAAACAAGAGTGAAAATGAATAAATAATACTGAATCTATGTAGTTTAGCTACTGATTAATGATATTTTACTGATTTTCCTAATGTTAATCCTATAATACAGTGATTAATCTGATCCACAGACTCATATTAGTCTTCAGACTTTCTCAGGTTTGCGTGAATGCTAGAATTTTATTTGCCAATTTTATGCTCTCATTGCATTGTTAGTGTATTGGGATTAGTAAACATTCAAGCAACACAAGATTATGAGGTCAATTTTTTAAAGTGTATGCTGAGAATGGTGTTTTTTAATGCAGATAGGGCAGAATTATTCTACAATGCAACTCCAATCAAGACATGAGGACAGTCATGAATGTATTGATAAACTTTAGAATTGGCGCTGAAAAAATACTAATAGTCTACTGATGACATATGAAGTGTGTTTGAGTAATTATGTAATTTTGCACCCATCACATCAAGTATGAGAAAAACTATTTGGTTAAAAATTTTGAATATGTTCTGGCAAACATATGTTAAAAATTTTAATGGAACTACACTCCAGAAATACATGCTTTTTGTATACATAAAACTCTCATAAAGTTTATCAGCTGGGCAGGGCATCAGGCAAAAACGGCCTGGGGAAAACACTGGAACATCCCCATTGCTTTGCGGAATTTTCCATTTGTGACACATCATGTCAGCATTCAAATTAATTTTCAGATTTTAGATAAAGGATTATCAACATGTATTTAATGTAATACATGTTGAGAATCCTTTTATATAATATAAAATATAGAAAATATTTAGTTTTGCCATTCACATTTTGAATTGAATAAGTTTTACTATATGTTAAATATAGAAAAACCAGAGCTTCGTAAATAGTAGACTTTAATGATTAATTTAATGTGCGATAACATCCGATTAATTAATTAAAGAATTCATTAATCAGCCATTTATTTTTTGTTTTAACTTATACATAATATTGAATAATAAGTTCTATTCAATATCTAATTAGTCATTAGTTTTGTGTATCTATTAAAAATAATATTAGCAAGATTCTTAACTTCATTTTATATAATCATGAGCTAAACCTGGATTGTAAAATATTCTGAAAACATTTCTTGCCTATTAAAAAGTTTTTGGCTTAATTGTAGTTTTATTCCATTACAACTCTAAGATATCGTGTCAAGTTTTAAATATTTTTATTTTATTAAAAGACTTTTTTGACAAATTTTGAACACATTCAATAAGAATTTATACTCTATCTATGTTGGCATCTACCATAAACAAACACCTCATAGGTTGCAAAGGATGTTCAAGATTCCTTTTTTGTGTGTAGATCTAATAAAATGCTATATAATGTATACAGTGCGGCAATTAAATTCCGGGACTGAAGCTATATCTCAGCAACCAGTACCGACATCTGTTTAAATTTTATGTCAAATGAAGTTTGAACAGATGTCACTACTAACCTAAAACTTTTATTTAAATCGGTTGACATTTATCATTGTTTTTGATATTTTGTTTATCAGTTTATTTTGTTACATGTCGGCAAACAATAATGGAACAACGTGCTGTTATTAAATTTCACGCTAAACTTGGCACAAGTGCCACAGAAACGTTCAAAATGATGCAGAAAGTGTATGGAAGTGAGTGTTTATCATCACCTCAAGCCAAGAAAACACAAAAAGTTCCATCAAAAATCAAGACAATGTTCATTGTTTTCTTCGATAGCAAAGGCATCATCCACTGTGAGTTCGTCCCACAGGGTCAAACAGTTACTGCTGCTTTCTACTTGGGAGTTTTACAACGATTAATGGGAAGAATTCGTCGAATTCGACCAGAATATCGCAATTCTGATGACTGGTGTTTGTTACACGATAATGCACCGAGTCACACATCATTGATTGTTCGTCAATTTTTGGCACGAAATCAAGTCTGTGTGTTGAATCATTCGCCGTATTCCCCCGATTTAGCACCATGTGACTTCTCTTTATTTCCAAAAATGAAAATGAAGTTGAAAGGATGCATTTTTAATGATATTGAAACCATCCAAAGAGAGTCTACGCGCATATTAGAGGCAATACCGAAAATTGAGTTTGAGCAGGCATTTGAATCACTATTGAATCGCTGTAAAAAGTGTATTGAAGCAGGAGGAGAGTATTTTGAATAATTTAATAAAAAGATTTGAATAAAATTGTTTTGTTTCATTTTTATAGATCCA